TCATTTTGTCGACCTGGGTAGAGTGCCCTGTGTCATTGCTCACAGCAACCTCAAACTCCTGGGCTCAAGCAATTCACCTGCCTCAGCCTCCTGAGTAGCTGGAACTACAGGTGCCCACCACAACAGCCAGCTATTTTTTAGAGATGGGGTCTCGCTCTTGCTCAGGCTGGTCTTGAACTTGTGAGCTCAAGCAATCCACCTGCCCTGGCCTCCCAGAGTGCTAGGATTACAGCTGCACCCAGCAGAACGCCCACTTTCATTTCATAAGCAGACAGTTCTTTGGAACCTGAGGCCCTGTTTCCAGAAATATGGCTCTACAGAGCATAAGCACATCCATCTGTTAATTGTAGGGGTTGGGTATGGAGCAAACAGAGTGAACAGAGAGGGAGGGGCCCTCACTGAGCACGTGGGGCAGTGGGTTAGAATAGGGACTCAGCTTCAAGTCTTGGGCACAGCTATCACTAGCTGTTGACCTTAGGCTATTTGCTCTTGATGAGCCTCAGTTGTCTCATCTATAAAATGGGGGAAATGATAATTATTGCATAGTGTTGTTTGGAAGATTCAATGAGCTAAAAACAAAAAACCCAAGGCGGTGCACAGTAAGTCTATGTAAATGCTATTATTATTTAGGGACTATCAGATCAGACCCATCACCATTTAATGTAATCGAATCAAGCCTCAAACCAATCTTTCCAGATAGGTAGAATTAATCTCCACTTTATAGATACAAAAGCTGAAGCTCATGAGGATTAAGAACCTCATCCAAAGTCACACAACTAGGAGATAGCAAGACCAGCACGGAAACCAAAGTAATCCTCAAAAGCCTCATGACCATAATGATCACTAATCACTGGCGCCAGGAGGTAGCTGAGCACTGTGCATGGATCAGCTTATCAAATACTCAAAACGGCCCTGCAAGGAAAGAATTATTGTAACTATTTTGGCTCGGCGCCTGTGGCTCAAGTGGCTAAGGCGCCAGCCACATACACCTAAGGTGGCGGGTTCGAATCC